TGCCGAACATTTGGGAATAAGCAATGACATCATGCAATATGGCTCTTTCATGCACTTCCACGGCGGGAGATTGTAAGGCATTAACATTACGGGCCACATGCTATATGATGTGCTCATATTCCCAAATGGATTGAAACCATCTATTGCCAGCCCTCGCCTTACATTTCGAGAGTCATCAGAAAACGTCGGATGTTGCTTATCAAAGTCCTTCCATGCTTCCCCATCGGCCGGGTGCCTTAATATGTCATCATCCACACGTTTCTCATTATGCCATCTCATATATACGGCTATTTTTTTGGACATATACAGTCTTTTCAACCTCAGTGTCAAAGGAAAGTACTGGAATACCTTGTGTGGAATCTTTTTACCACCATCATCGTTCAACTTGTATCTACACGCGTCACATGTAGGGCATTTCTCCAAATTAGCACTCTCCTTCCAAAATAGTGCATAATCATTCTTGCACGAATGAATTGTTTCATATCCCAAACCCAAGTCATGTAAGAACTTCTTAGCATCATAGAGTGTCCATGGAACTGTTGGATCACATTCTAGTAGAATGTTCTTGAATACCTGCATAACCATATCGAATGACTTGTTGCTCCATTTATTGTACACCTTCACATGAAGCAACTTACTGACGAATGATAACACAGAAAACTTTTCACATGTCCGATGAACTTTGCGTTATGCATCTTCGAATAACCTAGTGAACTTATGCACATCCTCCCTCTCCAAACCATTAGGTTCCTCGTCGGTATGATCATCCATAAGACCACTCACGTAAATTTCTTCCAACATAATAGGCAATTCATCCATGGGCGGATCATTGATATCTGTCATACATTCGCCACTACCTCCACATTGGTCATTTGATGCACTAGGACGAGACACGGGAACATGTTCCCCGTGATGCACCCAAGTTATATACGAAGATGACATTCCTCTTCGGATCAAGTGCATCCACACAACTTGTCTGCTATATTTTGTGCCATTAATGTAATCGACACACAGACTGCTAATTTCATCATCTACACTTACATTTGCCGTAGCAAAATCAAGGAATGACTTCACCCCTTGTTGATACTCTTTACTTGTCAGCCTATTATTTATCGTCATCCAACTCTTGTCCATTTTGTCACCTACAACTCACACAAAGATTAACCGAGGAACAAATGAGAACACGCATTTCAAGTTGAGATAGATTATGTTGTTTTTCATTCACTGTTTGGCTTGTCACATAAATCTCTTTTAGGGTGGAACTTTATGACACGATTTGTTCTGAAACAATGCGTAATTATGGAAGTTAATTTAAGAAATGACCCGTAATTTTGGACCACTAGATAGCATAACTAGTAGAGCACTAGTACTAGTGAAACCATATGGTCAATAATAGAATGATATATCAAAATAATCAAAACCATTTTATTATGAATACTACTTTTATATAAAATGATATAGTTTATTATGATTTCTTCATTTACTATTATTCTATAATTTATAAAATAAAATAAAAGAAAACTATTCATACATCAGTCTCGATATATTTTATAAATTATATATATTTACAAATCATTTTCTTTTAGCCAAACAAAAAAAAAGTGTAAAATGAATTTTTAGTATGAAGCAACACTTCAAAAACACCAAATAATTTTCGATTGGAGGCCCTTTGAAATTGTGGAATACCACAATTATAACCAATAAATCTGCAAATATAGCTGCTTGGATGAGTCGCTCTCCTTGCCTCTCATTACGTATTTGTTTGGTGAATCCTCAGTTATAGATGCATTTCAAAAAATAAGCTCATGTGAGAGTGATTTATCATTATAACTTGGCAGCCTTGCATTGTTCATACACACAAATCAGCAAAAAGTGTCCTAGTACCCAACCATCTCTTACATAGAGCATAACATGACTCATAGATAGATCAGTTCATATATACACACACATTTTAATATATACAGTCATACACGAACACATACAGTCACACACACACTTCTTTAGTCACACATGATCCGAACCGTTCATTATATATTAGTGTAACTAGTAAAATGAATGATTGAGAGTTGAAGTGGAAAGGGAGCTGGAGATGAGCTAGGACTTGAGATGCACAACAGTAACTGTTGTGCGGTTTTTGGAGTTCATTTTAGATCCAATTTTGATAATTCAAATTGTTTACTTTTTAGAATATATTAGTACAACATTGATATAAAAAAATCAAATTGATCGAATATTAATAATAGTTCTTTAATCAAATCACATATGTATTAAGTTTTATTCTTAAAATCGAACTTATCATTCAGTTTCTCGTTAGTCAATTAAATTTTATATAAATATATTGTACTTGATGTAATTTAAAAAATAAACGATTGAAATTATCAAAATAAGATCTAAAGTGAACCTAAAAGGCTACACAATGGTAGCCACCCTGACTCCACTGAGTGAAAACTTAAATTTGAGTTAGTTAAAATTCTGAGTCAAAACATTTTAAACCTTACTTAAATCATGAATGAAAACTTAAATTTGAGTAAGTTAAAATTCCACCCACTCATTTATTGACATCTATACAAAATTTAGTTGTACTCTAATTTTGACTCAATTCAAGGGAGATACATCCCTTTTTACTCAAATTTCCATGCAATCAGAGCTTGACACAGTTGCTTTTATCCAAAATTTTCAAATTATCGTTCACTTCAATTCCTAGCTACAACCACTCAAAACTTGACAATTTGGACTTAAATTTGAAATTTTCCATTGAAATATAAAACCTCATAATATTATAATTTTTTACTCAAACTCATACCTCATTTTCAGTAAAACTACAAAGGGTTGGAAATAGATTTAGAAAAATAAGTGGTATGGATAGGGTTAGTGATGGGCTACTGAAGATGGGGAAGAAATGCAAAGGAAGAAGAGAGAGAACAAATAGAGGAATTCCATCTTAGAAAATAAAATAGTGAAAAAAAAAATCTATATATATAAGATCATCACATATGGTAAATGGTTGGCCTAATTTCAGCATTTCTGTAAGTAGTACACCCAAATAGAATAACATTGGCCTAATTTCGAAAACATCTTAACCCAAGCATTGCCCTAAATTTTAATTTCAATCACAATGCCCTAATTTCTAGCATTCACATTCTGATTTCTGTGTGCGTGTATATATCGCATATGTATGTATGTGTGTATGTGTAAACAGAGAGAGACCGAAAGAGAGAGGGAGATACAGAGAGAAGGAGAGACAGATGCGAAATGGAGGACGTACCTGTGAAGGAGACTATGAGATGATCCTGATGAACTTGCGGTGATGGCGATTTTTGTACAAAGCTATACAGAAGAAGGCAGAGGCGTGAGTGAGACCCAATCAAAAACTAATGTAAACAGCGAGTGAGAGAAAGATGGAAACCGAGAGGCCATACAGAGAAGGGGAAACAAATCGAGAGGGAGATAGGGAGAGAGAGAGACAGAGAGAGGCGAAATAGAGGACATACCTGGAGAGAGGCGAAATGGAGATGGAAACAGCGCAAGTGACAGAGGCGGAAGTGAGAGAAAGAGGGAAATAAAACCACGAAATGTTTATTCCCGACCAAACTTTATTTTTGCCGGTAATATATTTATGAAAATTACATATTCCCTCCAAAATCGATTTTGGCCCTTTTGGCTACTGAATTGTAGTCGGAAAAGAAAACAAATTTAGCGACCAAATTTTAAATAGTCGCCCAAACCCTATTTTGCACGACTAGCACACATTTGTAGCCAAAAATCATCAATAATATCTCCGAAAAGGTTGTTTTCCACGACTAACACAGAATTAGTAGCGAAAAATTAAATGAAAACCAATAAAAAAAATTTATACTTTATAATGACAGTGCAATTAGCGACCAACATCATCTTTAGTCGCCAAAAGTGAAGACAATTCCGACAACATGTATATTTAATATCAAAAAAGTGGTCTTTTACTGACCAAAAAGGTTTGGTAGCTGATGCATGTACCTTTGGCGACCAAATGTTGTTTGGTAGCTAATCTGTCCACCGCTGGCGACCAGCTTTATTTTAGTAGCTAATTAGTAGACATTTGGTGACTAAATTTACTTTAGTCGGCAAAAGTAGTCGCCGAATGTGTTCTTTGTTGTAGTGAGATTGAACAGATACGAAAATGTGGTATTTTTTATTCTTATTTTTGTGAATTTTTTCAGATTTCTTCACAAACAATTTTACTATTTAAATCCATCTAAAAAGTAAAAAATAAATAAATTCGTGAAAAAATACGAAAAAATTTCATCAAAGATAAAAATATTTATAAATCAACAATTAAGTGATGACACTTAGACCTTGCAAATCAAATAATTACTTTCTTGATTATTTTTCAAACACTTTTAACTTTTGCACAGTTTATTCAAAAAATTGCATCAAAACACTTTTATAACTTATTTAAAACATTTTTAAGTCAAGAATCTAAAACTAATAATCTTCACAGCTAACCTTAAGTTTTGTTAAACGGGGCCAGTGTTATGTAATATCATTGTGTACAGCTTATGATTGGAAAGTAGAAATTAAAGTATATATCCATTAAGTTTTAAATAATTAGGCTATTATAATTTTTCAAGTTATTGTTTTAATACTTGTAAGCATAAGTCGTTTCTACACCAAACAACACTATTGAAATGTACGATAATGTGTTAATGGTTCTAAATGAGAATTTCGTATGAATAGAGAATTGACTAGGTTTTTATTTAAATTTTCTTTTAGACCAATTGTTGCATACTTTTTCTAACAAGGACTAATGTTCACATCCTTTCTTAAACAAATTGTTTTGGGTTATGGACCACAAACTTTTAGAGAGTCTGGTCATCCGAGCAAGAGAAGCAAACCAACTCATTTGACCATATTATGTAATTTGGGCCTAGCGGAGAAGTCACCATCAATTAGAAGAATCTAATACCACTACTAGAAATATGACTTTCTACGTCTATCTTTTTGCGACCGTTTGTTTTGCGGTCGCAAAAAATCTCTTTTTAATTGACCCAACCGTGTTCTTAAAAATAAAAAAAATAAAAAACCCCCAAATCATTTAAAAAACTTGACCCGTCCCCCTTTTTTCCCCTTATTTCCCAAATCTGAACTCACTCTCTCTCAAAATGTCTCTCGCTCGACTCTCTCGCTCAAATCTCACTGTCTCTCTCACTAGACTCTCACTTTGAAGAAGATTTAAAAATTTTGATCGATTGTTGATGAAGATTTGAAGATTTCAATCTGCTGTTGATGAAGATTTCGATCGATCCATAATCGAGATTCATAATCGGTAAGCCTAAACACTTCTCTTTGTCCCTCTCTGTAATGTTTGGCACATCTTCATCGATTCATCTTGATCGCTCGAATCTTACTCTTTGTAATGTTTGACGTATCTTCATCGATTAATTTGTAATGTGTAAATTGAAACATTAATCGATTCAACTGTCTGTCTCTCTCTGTAATCTTGCTCTCCTCTCTGCTCTTCGTACTCTCTATATATATATATATATATCCATGTAATGTATCACCGATATGTGTTGTTCAATTACAACAGTGTGTAAATTACAACAGTATCACCTCCAGATGGAATGTTGCTAATATATTGCTCAGTGTTGGTGCTGTGAACGCCTATTTCTGAAATGTTTACCAGTTCTGAGCATTACTAAATAAAGACCTTTTTTTTAAAAAAAAAAAAGGACTCCTAGACATGCTGTTGTTGATGAAGGTAGCAGAAAACAAGGTGCTTCAAAGCTCTCCTTTGTTCATTTGACTTTGTTCACATGTTTGATAGTTTTATTTGATGGATTTAATCATACTTCTGTAGTCAAAGTGATCTTTAATGGAGTGTTCGAAAAGACCTTCATTTTATGAGAAAATTATGATCCATCATTTTCTGTACTGCTTGTTGATATTAGGCATATGAGCTTTTAAAGGAAGGTGTAGATCTTCAAGCTTTTTATAGATGCCTTCAGTTTATGTTCTTCACATAATTATTAAGAGAAAGTAATTGTTTTATCTATGATAATTGTTGATGGTGCAATTGATTATTGAAAATGATCACTCTGTTATTGGGGTTTTTACTTTTGGGTAAGAAAGTTGATGGAAAATTTGTGATGGAAAAAGGTCTTCACATCCTTTCTTTGACTTAGTTAACGGTCCTCCGCCGGACTTGTTGACAGTAATTTGGAAGCTCCTTACTGGAAACACTTCATCGCTTGAATTGTTCAAATTACTTCTCTCTGCAAAATTGTTGAATATGCTGTTCATTTCATGGCTGCTACATGTGCTTTGAATATCAATCAGACATGTTCTATTTAGGAAAGAAAAAATTCTAGATCTAATATTTTTTTAACTCTCGTTTCTGTCATTACAGGTCAAGCCCAAACCTAACTCAGCTAGCGTATAAGGACTTCTGAGATACTTAATGTTGACAGTTATTTCATTGATTTAAGGTTAGACAACGACCTCAATGCCTTCATTTCAAACTAATCGATGCGTGTTTTCTCACTATCTATAACTGAGTTGTAGGATTTTAAATTAGTTTTAGCATGATTGGATTGATTGATTGTGATTAAATTAGTTTTGTGAGCAAGCATTGTTAGGATAGACGTTCTCACTTAGAAGCGTGCTTATGAGATAAGCCATGGGGCACTAATGTTAGTTTTCAAGTCCAAGTTTGATGAAAACTTTCAAAGTTCATGGCTGCTCTAAGATTTCAAGATAAACTATGCTCCTTAGTGTTTTTTACCTAACATTTTTAAGAGAAAATTTTCAAATCCAAGCAGTTTAAAACTTATATTTCAAATCTCTGTTCTATTTTACGAAGTCGTGTTTTCAAAATGCGACTGTAACTTCGAAATCTTGTTTGAAAACATAACTTGGGGGGTTTTGGGGATTGACTTTTTTTAATAATTTTTTGATTTTTTATAAAAAAAATATGTAGAAAATAGATAATTGTGCTAAGGGATGAATATGAAGACTGAAATGTATCAGCCACAGCAAGTGTTATGTTAATATCTACACACCACTATTTCTCAAATTTACAGCACTGCTTGCTTTTTTTTGCCAAGTTCTTTCATCCAAAAAGGTTCAACTTTTATTGGGTTATTTTGTTTGCTCTATATCAAGAGCTAGTGATTTCAAAAAGAATGTTGGAGTGGTGCACATTGCAGAAGCTCATGATTCTGAAAGACTAATTCTGGACCTGGAGCCTGCTAAAAAAGGCTTACAAAATCAAACACTGGAAGCCGATCTAGTATTATGGACTGTTGGATCTAAACCTTTACTTCCTTTATTAGAATCCTGTGACAAGCCCCATGAGCTTCCTCTTAATGCCAGGGGCCAAGCAGAAACAGATGATACTCTCCGTGTCAAGGGCCATCCACGCATATTCTCAATTGGTGATGCTTCTTCACTGAGAGACTCCAATGGGAGACTACTTCCAGCCACAGCACAGGTATAATAAGTAAATTGTCCTGCTAGTATTGTGAGACCTTGTGCATTTTTGTCAATATTAAATGGAACTTTTCTTGATATCTTCCATGCGTCCGTGGATGTAATTTGTTACCTGTTTCATGGCTAACAATGATGTGTAATATTCTTCTCAGGTAGCTTTCCAGCAAGCAGATTTTACTGGTTGGAATCTTTGGGCTGCAATCAATGACCGACCTTTGATGCCATTTAGGTTTGGAACTGAAACACATTCCTCAAAGATAATCTTCTAAAGCATTTCACAATATCATTAAGTTTACAGTTTTTCACTTTGTTATTGTTACAAGTCTGAGAAATTATTTAAATCACTCTTATGTGTCTAGAACATGGTTTTTTTTAACGCGTTTGTATAGGTCTTGTTATCACCAAGTCCCTTTGTAATTTGGTTTAAGTGAATCAGTATCAAATGATCTGCACATATGCAACTAATAATGCATTAGAACTTAAATATATATATATATATATATACATATATGTACAAAGAAATTAACGAGCACACTTGTGATTTGTTACTGGTGACACTAAAGTGGAACACTGGTTTTGCTGCACCGGGTTGTAGTGTTCTTGCAGAATGGGTAATGGGTTGATATTGGTCTAATATCAAGATCAAACAATGCAGTGTCTCTCATTTTCGACAAAAGATGAGGTATCTTTTGACATCCCTCATTTATAGTCATCTTTATTTGTCATGTACTATACATCTACATGATTTTATTTTGCTGCTTTAGAAATTTGAAATCAGGACTGAGTTCAGTTTAGTTAGAAGAATGTATTACCCGACTTAGACACCATATTTAAGAGATATGACGTAAAAAATGAGGAGATATATGTAACAAAATATTCATAATTCATGTTTTGAAAGCCTCTAAAATTCTTTGTACGTTGTGTTTGTTAATGCAGATATATTGAAACAAAAGTAAAAAGCCTACTTTTGTTGGCCATGAGACTTGATAAAAAAACGAAGAAAACAAGCATTAAGTTTCAGTGCATCTTAGATTTTGGCGGTTCCTAAGGTGAATCAGTGTCCTCATACTGATATGCATCAACAATACTCAGACAACCAAAAGCAATTTATGCTCACAACCTATGTTGACAACTAGCTTACATCTAAATATTTTAGTGATCCTTGTTCTTTAGAATCTACAAAAGTATGTGATTGCAAAATGTGTCAGGAAAAGCTTGGCATAATCCCCAAAATCAGGGTTTAATTTTCTATTGGTAAGAGTATGTGTTTCTGTTTTAGTATCATACTATAGTGTGTGTTCTGGAGTAGCATTTTAAATTCTGTATCATGGGCTGTGGCCCTTGTGGGTAATCTCGCTGGCTGTAGTCATGAACATTCATGATATCCTATTGTTCAACATCAGGATGATAGGATCTCTCTCTCTCTCTCTCTCTCTCTCTCTCTCTCTCTCTACACATGTCTGTGTACATCTTCATGTTTGCAAGGTCTGAGGGCATGACATTGACTGATAGATGGTATGAACATATGATATGTAGGCAAGTCCACGATTCTTCTATGTTTACCATCTATGGAGTATTTGATAGTGACTGCCACTGAAAATTGTTGTGTAGTATTTGTTTGTATTATGTCCCTTGTGTTTCAAAAAAAAAGCTCACATTTTATTACCTTTAAAAAAGCATCAATTTATCTAACCTGCCCAATTTGGATGTCAGATTCCAGAATTTAGGTGAGATGATGACTCTTGGGAGAAATGATGCTGCTATTTCACCAAGTTTCTTGGAGGGGCTAACCTTGGAAGGTCCTATAGGTCATACTGGTAAAATCCGCCCTCCTTTTGTCCAGTGGTTTTGCTTTCCCATTTTGATTTTTATCTTCTTACCACTTTTATTATTATTATTTGTTCTTATGTAGTGAGGAAAATAGCATACTTGGCGAGATTTCCTACAGACGAGCACCGTTTGAAAGTGGGGATCAGTTGGTTTGTGAAGTCTGTTTGGTGGATTCAATTGCATCTCTCTTTTAAAGGCACACATTCTTTTCTTTTCTATTCTCTCACTTATAAATTATTTATACAAAAATGTTCGTGGTTTGCACAGTGAGGTTACTTATGTACAGGGATATTTTAGGCTTTTCACTAAAATTGTTGACAGGCCTGATGGTGCACTTTAATAGTTCACAAACAATGGGGGTTATATGCTTATTTTCCTATATTATTCTTAATCATTTTATCATCATTTTCATGTTAATCTATGTTTTGTTTCTGTGTAGGTTTGGTTTATGGGTCAAAACTCACATATTCCATCTAAGTTTGACAATGTAAGCAAATTTCAACTTGTTCAATTTTCCTTTTAAAAACAGCTTGTTCCTGTACATGTTATCACAATCTCAGTTTGACTTTTAGTTTGGTAGTTTATCTCATCAATATTGATCTTGTTGTCTGGCTTTCTGTTAATCTCTCTCTCTCTCTCTCTCTCTCTCTCTCTCTCTCTCTTTCTCTCTCTCTCTACTTATTATTTCTGGATTGGTCCTAGAGACATGAGCATATCGGTGTTAAAATTACCGTGTCATTGTTTTATAGTTCTGTATGCAAGTGATTTATGCAAATCTGATTTTCAGGAGTTGGATCACCTAATAATACATTTGTGCCTTCAGTCAGGCCTTTTATTTTGCTAGATTTTGGGGGTCACATGGTTGTATACTTCCTTAGTCAAAGGAGTTTTTTTTAAACACGGAAATGGTGGTGTGAAAAAGCCTATATACTTTGGATTGGCAACAATTGAAGTGCTAGACTGTCCTAGTGAGTTATGCAGCATGATTTGGAGCTAGTTTTTGTAAAAATTCACATGTATTTGTGGATGAATACTTGAAATCAAGTTAGAGTAGATAATATTAAAATGATAGATATATAAATTTATTAGTAAGGATGGCCAAAGGAAAGGGTAAGGCAAAGTAGGAAGATTCAGAAGTTCAACAGGAAGATTTAGAATTTCAACCTGGATAGAAATCTAGAACTCAATCTCCATAAAGGAATAAGGTCATAAAAGAATATCGTCCTAAAGAAAGGTATGATCACATCCATGTTCAGAAGAAACCAGCAACATATACCTCAATCCTTCTTAAACAGCCTCCTGTATTGGAATTCCTAGCTAACTAGAAAGGCAAAGGGGGCAAGTCATGTCAGGACGTAGTACAACTAATCTATATAGGAATGTCCAGTGCATTACTGACTTTGCAATGCCAGTATTCCAGCCCTTCCATATGATGTTTCTTAGTAATTTAATTAACTGTATGACTTATCAAATGGTGGGCCTTATATTATATTTGGTTCTGGTATGATGAGATTAGGATGTTATTGTAATCACTAGGCATCTTCCAATAGCTGCCTTTTGTAGACCCTAGTGCTTCCCAGCTGCTTTCTGTAGACCTTGATAACTGGAGTTTTGGGCTCCTTTTTGATGTCTTGCCTAGAAAAATTACTAGGATTCTTCCCCTATAAAAACCATGTACTTTACCCCTAAGGTTTTTCTTTATGCATTTCAACATTTCGAAAGTGATTTTTTACGTTACGGGCATTTTATGTACTACTTCAAATATATATGTACCTGATGGAAGAATTTTGTGCACGGGTAATTTTAACTAATTTGATTATTCGGATTGCATCTTTGCAGGTGGTTGCAGGTATGACTGGTAAAAAACAAGGGTAGTAGTATGGATATTAGAAGTAAGTAATGATTTGTCTTATCCTGCCTCCATTCCCCTTCCCCTCTTACTCTGATTAGAGATTGGAATAAGATTTTTTTTATCATGTGAGAACAAAGAATTATTGTTGCTACTGGTTATTCACCTTTATTTTTGCTTGTGGATTTTAATGCTGTTAAAACATGTGGTTTCTCATGCTATCAATCGGAATTGGATGAGCTCCATAAGAAGCTTAGTTCTGCATGTTTGGTTGTCTTTACTTGATTGCATTTTTATGTCTTCTCACAATGATGTTCCCAGTCCTTTAAAGGCCTCGTGTTAGATCTTAAACCTTTAGTTCATCATTTGGGCTTTGAAATGCTTGTGCTTCATTGACACACCTTTTATAAGTTCTATTAGTAGTATTGTATACTGGAAGTGTTTTGACAGATATTACCCCAACTGGAATATGATGAAAAAAAGTTTCACATATTAAAAATAATTGTTTAATTGTGACATTTTTTGTGTTTATTTTGTTCAAGCTTTAATATTTGTAGAAAATGGGAAGAATATCGAGAGGTTAGCTGTGGGTTTGATTTGTCTAATTTGTTTGATAAACAGCTGGATAGGTAAAAGGGCTTTGATGTTTCACAATTTGCCCTGGAGTTGTAGCTATCAGTTGGTAGTTATGTCTAGTTGTACAATTGTGTCTACCTGTACCAAGGGGAGGATATAAACTTGTCTAGTTGTACAATTGTGTCTACTTGTTTATTTATTTATTTATTTTTATTTTTATTTTTAATTTTTTGCGACGGTAACAAGATGGTCGCCAAAGATCATGTTAGTATTTTTCTTTGTTTTTTGCGACGGCAAAATAGGGGTCGCCATAAGTAGTTTAGGTGGTCGCAAATAATTTGCGACCGTTGCTTTGTCGTCGCAAAAAGTATTTGCCACCCCCATATTCGCGACCCCCATTTGCCGTCGCATGGGCCGTCACAAAAAGTCTTTTGCGACTGTTTTTTATTATTTGCGACAGTTTATAGCGGTCGCAAAAAGTATTTTTTTTAGTAGTGTACAACACAAAACTTTGTTGGGTTGACCTTATTAACAATACAGGGTGATTCTCTTTGCACCTAAATAATAATTTAACACATCTAATTAAAATTTTAAAATTTTAGTTACTATTATATTTTAATGTATATTTACTAATAAGGACAATACACAATAAACCCTGAAATAAAATATGTAGATTTTTTCTCATAATACACCCAAATCACTTATATGTATTTTTCATATTTAACTCTCTTTATCTTTTTCTCCAAATTTTAATTATTTTGTCTTCATCTTCTTTTTCATTTCGAAACTCTAATCTATCCCATCAAAATTTATCATTATCATCAACATTATTATTTCTTATTAAAAAAATAAAATCAAAAATTTAAGTTATAAAAAAATGACTAATTTGTGACAAAAACTAAGATTGTAATTGTAAGCTTATTAATTCTACCATTGGTATATCTCTATTTCTTTGTTGTAAAACTTTGTTTCTTTAAATTCCAAAGCACCAAAAAACAAAAATGATGAGGCTCTACATTTGTTGAGGCACCGATAGCATTTGTTCTCCATCAATTTTGCAATTCCTTAGTCTAGGTCTGGCAACAGCGTGGTTCCTTACTATGAAACTCAAAGAGATAAAATGCAACTAAATAAATTAAAGCCCTAAATCAAAAATCTTATATTTTTTTATCGTTCTCCATCATCATTCTCATTTACTGGTGTCGTCTTTCCTTGTATGTGAACAAAAAAATAATTGTAACAAGAAACCTGTATAAGGATTTTTTAAAGGGCTTTTGAAAGTGGTGTAATTTGAGATTTTTGATTTATTTATCATTTGGGTGTATTTTGAAGGGTAATGTAGGAAAAACATATGGTGTATTGAGAGTAAATTATAATTCTAAATAATTTCATAAAGTGTACTGAGAAATTAGATGTACTTTTTTTTTTTGATCTGCAAAACAAAGAAGCTTCATTGATGTAAAATATAGTACAAAGTACAAGACAAAATACATCAATAAAGAAAGGCAAGTGCAAAAGCATCACAATGGGCTGAATCATCCCAACTAGGTTGGCACAAAAGAGCTCATCCTATCATTTGTTAGCACCCCTAGAGTTGGTGAGCAACCAACAGAAGAAAAAGAAAGGAAAACAAAAAAACAGCATAGCATAGTGCAGATTCACCCCCCCAAACAAATGCTGCTGCATAACCAGATCCTTCACAGAAGCTGCGTAACCAGATCACATTTCACAATGACACATAGAGAGCAACAGCAGGTTCAGCTCATAGAGATAGAACAAGCAGATCACAATAGATTCAGCAGAACTAACACCCATTAGTGCAGCAGCTCAATAATAGGTTCATATCATACATAACAGATAAAACAAAACCTAACAGATCACACACACCAACTACACCAGATCACCAGACCAAACCAGACCAATCGAAAACATTAGTGCAGTTCAAAAACAGCCACCAACAAGACCAATCCACATTCAACATCAAGGAAACAAATAAGGCCTCAGTCCAAATGCCCCAGACCAGAACTAACACCCATTGCATCAATTCAAATGCTGCTGCATAACCAGATCATGCCCCAAACCAGAGACAAACAACAACATGCTCAGCTCACAGAGAAAATTTCAGAAACAGGACTGATATAACAAATAGAACAAACATGCCTTACACAAGCTCATGCACCATTTTTGTTAAACAACAATTAGGCCCATCAGTTGCACAACAAATAATCCCAACAACAAATAAACCCATAGCTAGGCAGCCAATAACCAAACCCCCAGCCTACTCTGTTCCACCCAGCAGGTAAATAGAAAAAATTTACAGAACAAACAACAACAAGTTGCTGCTGCATAACCAGATCATGCCCCAAACCAGTGAGCAACCAACACACCAACAACAGCCTACTCTGTTCCACCTAGTAGGTAACCAGAAAAAATTTATAGATCAAGAAACAACAGGTTGCTGCTGTATAACCAGATCATGCCCCAAACCAGGGAGCAACAAGCAGCACACATAGAACAAACATGCCTTTACACAAGCTCATGCACCATTTTTGTTGCACAACAATTAGGACCATTAGCTGCACAACAAATAACCACAACAACAAATAAGCCCATAGCTAGGCAGCCAATAACCAAACACCCAGCAGCAGTCAACCCATCAACAGCAGCCTACTCTGTTCCACCCAGCAGGTAATCAGAAAAATTTACAGATCAAGCAACACCAGAAAAATTTACAAATCAAGCAGCCTACGCTATCAAAATAAGCCCATAGCTAGGCAGCCAATCACCAAACACCCAACAGCAGCCAACATACCAACAACAGCGTACTCTGTTCCACCCAGCAGGTGGTTAGCTTAGCTCCCATTCCTAATACAGTATTGAACCTGAGGCAAATCGAAGACTATATCATTGATAGAGAACTCCATTTTAGCTGTGGAGGATTGGGCCCATAAAGCAATTCGAGCTTTGACAACCTCACATAATTCCTCACAGTTTGGCTGGGAACCATTAAAAACCCAATCATTTCTATGCATCCATGTGGACCACAAAACAA